CCGGACACCTGCATCGACTGCGGGCTCTGCGTCGACGAGTGCCCGGTCCAGGCCATCTTCCCGGAAGAGGACCTGCCCGAGACGTGGAGCAAGTACGTCCAGCTCAACGCGGACTTCTACAAGTAATCGGATTCCGATCGGGGATGGGCGGCGCCGGGCTCAGCCCGGGTTCTCCGTCAGGTCGTACGAAATCGTCCGGACGTCCGAAGGGGCGTCCGGTTTTTCGTTCCAGTCCTCCGCGTTCGGGAGGTTCACCTCCATCGGCGCGGTCTTGCGGTAACCGAGCAGGCGGACGATCTCCAGGATGTCCGTCCACGTCGGGAACGTCTTGTTGTTGGACTTTTTGAAGGTGTCGATCGCCAGCAGGAACTGGAACTGCTCCCGCGACATCTCCCCCTCTTCCGCCGCCTTCATGAAGTCCGAGCGTCGGCGGCCCGGACCGCGCCGGCGCTCGAAGCCCGACGCCTTGTCCTTCTGGAGGTCACGCCGGTCGATACCCGAGCGCTGGTCGATGACCGTCGGCGATTTGAACGGCTTGGCGGTGCGCGCCTTGCCGGAGTCGCTCTGGTTGTCAGGGCCGCTAGCGGCGTCCTTGGCCACGGAAGGCCTCCCGTCGGCGCGAGGAAGAAAGACGGTCAGTCGAGATCGTCGTCGTCGTCGTCATCGTCGAGGAAGTCGTCGTCCTCGTCAAGATCGTCGTCGTACTCGTCGAAGTCGTCGTCCTCGGATTCGTCGTCGTCCCAGTCGTCGAACTCGAAATCCTCGTCGTCCTCGTCGCCGGGATCCGCGTCGAGCACGGGGGCCGAGACACCGCCCGTGAACGGGTAGAGCTCGAGCTCGGCCGGGTCGATTGTCTGGATCTCCATCGCTTTCACCTTCGGAGCATCGCCGGAGCGAGGCACACGGCCCGCCGCACCGACTCGATCGCCGGGTCTGTTCACGCGGGCGGACGCCCTCGCGTCCCGGCCCGTCCCGATGGGGGGTACACTACCGGCGACGGTCCGCCTGTCAATTTCGCACAGACGATTTTTCTCAGTTTCCAACCCGCGTCCGCCCACGCCCCCTCGGCCGACGCGCGGAGCCACCCGTGAGCACCAACGCCGAAGACCAGACCATCACCTACACCGGCGGGGGCGAGCTGCGCCCCCACCTCGCGGTCTTCGCCTTCCTCTTCCCCGGTCTCGGCTACGTCGTCTCCGGAGAAACCAAGCGGGGCGTGCTCGTCGCCGCCGGCGTGCTTCTGCTCTTCGTGGGCGGGATCTTCGTCGGCGGCATCGACGTCGTGGACAAGAAAGAAGACCGCTGGTGGTTCCTCCTCCAGGCCGGCGTGGGCCCGACGGCCTTCGCCATGGACTGGGTCAACCAGACCCACCTCAAGGACCCCGTCCTCGGCAAGAACCATCAGTCCCTGAGCCACGTCAACGAGATCGGCTCCCTCTCCTGCGCGATGGCCGGGATGCTCAACATGATCGCCATCGTCGACTGCCTCTGGTCGCCCCCCGTGCCCATCCGCCGCCGACGCACCGCCGAGGGGAGCGCCGCATGAGCACCGCCCTCCTCGCCTGGACGCCCTTCGTCGACCCCGTCGACATCCAGCAGCACTGGTGGCTCACGCTCATCCCGATGGCGCTGGGCATCTCCATGGCCTACAAGGCCGTCCGCCTCCGCCCCCTCGAGAAGTACTGGAAGCACGTCGCCGTGATGACCGTCCAGATCGTCGGCGGCATGGTCGGCCTCTCGATCTCGGTGTACCTGCTGATCGAGGTGCTCGTGCCGTTGTACGAGACGCTGTAGAGCGCACCGGGTTTCACGCGGCACGGGCGACCCGAACCGGGCAGCCGTTCCTCCCGGGGCGCCCGTCCGTCGTCTCGATCTCCCCTTCCAATTCGAGCGCTTCGAGGGCCTGCTTCGTCGCGCGTCGCGACGCGCCGCACCGTCGCGCGACTTCCGCCTCGGACGAGAGCACGCCGCCCTCACCATCCCGGATGAGCGTCTCGAGGATCGAAGCGCGCAGGTCGCCCTTGCGGACGATCCGGCGTTGGTACTCCGGGTTCTGTTCGAGCAGCCACGACACCGGGCGGACCGCGTCGAGCTTCGGGTCGAACTCGGGCGTCCAGAGCCCCCACTTCCGCGAGAGCTCGGACGCGTTCCGCTCCGCGACACCGCGCAGCGCCTCGCTCGCGCTATGCACATCGTGCAGAGGCCCTGGCGTGCCCGCGCGCTCGCACACGTCGATAGCGATCCGCAGGTCCTTCGTCGCGCCGCGCTGGATGGCCGACTCAAGGATCAACCCGAGCGCGGGCCGATGCTCCGGCTCCAGTTCAGCCCAGACCAAACGCCTGAGCCGATGGCGCGCCACGAAACTCCCGTAGAGGCCGAGCCACGTGACGACAAGGGGCAGCAACCGAGCGTTGCCGCTCAAACGACGAGCCGTCTCGAGCAGCAGGCGTTCCAGGTCCGGCGTCTCTACGGACGGCGCACAGTTAAACAGGATCCCGAGACGCGCCCAGTCGGATTCGATGGTGCAAGGATCAATGATCTTCATGGTACATTTATTGTATACGTTTTATTTCCAAACCTACCAATACACCGTCACCTTCGCCCCCCGACGCGTCCCGATGTTCGTCACCAGATACCGCAGCGCGTCGGCCGCGTGGTCGGCGCCGTCTTTCACCGGGTTCGTCGCGCGCGGGTTGTCGCTCGGGAAGCGGTAGCTCGTCAGGGCGCGGATCAGCTCGGCGCACCGCGGGTGGATAAAGAGCGTCGGCTCGCCCGCCGCGGGGTCGAGGCGCTGGCGGATGGCGCGGACACCGTCCTCGATTCGCGACCGCCTCGCCCGCACCACGTACCCGGCGTCCTTGAGCAGGCGGATCGGGCTCAGGCCGGTCTGGTCGTTCCGCTGCGCGCCGGCGGGGTCGACACCGATCCACGAGACGCGCGGGTAGCACGGCCGGCGCATCTCGCGGAGGTGCCGCTCGAGCGTCATCTCCTCCTGCGCGTGCTCGTGCAGGACGTGCACCACGCCCAGCGGGTCCAGGTGCGCCCAGAGGACGACCGCGGGCGAGCGGAAGCCGAAGTCCATCCCCGCGACGAACCGCGCCCCGCCGTCCGCGCGCAGTTCGTACGCCGGCTCGCGGACATGCCGATCCGGGTCGAACTCCGGGTACACCGCGTCCCGACGAGACGGGCGGAGCGAGAGCATCTCCGCCTCCCACGACTCCCGGCACGACCGACTCTTGATCGCGACCGCGTCGTCGATGAACACATGTCCTCCCCCCGGATTGTCTTTGGCGCGCCCTTCGCACTCCGGGTGCAGCGGGCACGCCCCGCACGCGCGCTGCGGCGCGCACTTCTCAAGAACATCCAGCACGCCCCACCTGAAGAGCGTCCGCACCGGCTCGTCGCCCCGGCACGAGCCCACGAGCGTGGACATCACCCCGAGCGGGACGTGCCACGTGCTCAGCGCCTCGATCGAGCCCTTCACGAGGACGTCGCCGCACCGTTTCGAGCGCGGCGCGAACTGGATCGCCTCCCACACCTCCGGGTCGAAGAGCTCCACCTCGTCGCACCGCACGATCTGCGGGCGCATCCCGCGGACCGACGCGTGCGACTGGCTCAGGATCTCCGCGTTCGATCCGTTCACGAGCACGAGGCGCGACGCGGTGATCTTCCCTTCCACCATCGGCGCGAGCCCCGGCGCGCGGAAGAGGCGCGCCAGGTGCGCGAACATGCGCGCCGACTGCTCGCGCGACCCCGCGATCAGCTTCACCTCAACCTCCGGCTTGTAGAGCAGGTCCAGCGCCGTCGCGACCGCCGCACAGAACGTCTTGCCGCCCCCGCGGTTCGCCCACACCACGCAATCCCGCGGCATTTCTCCGAACTCGCCCTGAAAGAACGCGTGGGCGAGGTAGTCCATCGGCGCGTGGTGCCCCTCGATCATCGCCCGCCCGGGCGGGTCGACGCCGAAGAGATCCGCGATCACGGCGCGCAGCGACGCGACATCGCGCGGGCGGGGCGGGAGCCCCGCGCCCTGAGTGTCATCCATCCCATCCCCCCGAAGAATTCTCAGGCCTACCCGTGCGCGTACGCCACGCGTCTCGCCGCCACCGACACCGCCGCCTTCGCGAAGACCGCTTCGATCGGCGCGCCGGCGAGCCTCACCGTCGCGCGGGACCCGTGCGCCCAGACGAGCAGTTCGCGCCCGAGGCGCTCATCGCCCAGCGCGCGCCTCGCCCGCGCGAGCGCGAGACCCGGCGTCGCCAGCCGCCACGGCTCGACGCCCGCCTCACGGAGCACGCGCCCGAGCCGCTCGTCTCGCAGGCTCTCGGGCACGCGGAACTCCGCCATCCCCGCGACGCGGAAGAACGGGCACGCACCGCCCATCGTCGCGAGCGCCTCCGTGCAGCGCGTCAGCGGGTCCCGCAGGTACGCCCGCACGAGCGCCGTCGCCACGCCCAGCCCGCGGAACCGCGGGTCGACGATCACGCGCGAGATCGTCCGCAGATCGCGGTTCACCCTGATCGCGGACGCGGCCTTGTCCGGCCCGTCGAACACCCCCGGCCACGCCTCGGCCCGCCACACGCCGTTGAGCGTCGGGTGCGAGACCGCGAGCACGCCCGCGAGCGTGCCCGTTTCCCGGTCCACCGCGCGGAGGACGCGCTCCACCGTCGCGGGGGCGCCGGCGCGGTAGTGGTACGGCAGGAGCGTCATCAGGTCCTCCCGCGTGCCCGCCTCGTGCTCGAACAGCTCGCCCAGGCGCACCGGCTCGCCGACCTCCTCCCGGACGCGCCCCGCGAGGTCGAGCGCCAGGTGCAGGTTCGGCGCGAGCGCCGGCGCGACGAATTCCCGGTTCGTCGCGATCACGAACCGCAGGTTCGGGCGACGGGCGCTGACCCGCCGGAGGAGCAGCGCCAGGCTCCGCGCCGTCAGCGCGTCGAGCGACGAGCCGAACTCGTCGATCACGATTGCGCCGAGCTTCCCCTTCGGCGCCCGGTCCAGCACCATCGCGAGACGCAGCCGGAACCGCTGCCCCTCGGAGAGCTCCGACGGCTTGCGCACGAAGCACCGCAGCTCCGCGAGCCCGACGGACGCGAGCGCCCGCATCGCCCGCGTCGCGTCCCGCCCCACCAGGTCCACCGCGGGCTTCTCCGCGGGGCGCAGGCGCTCGGGGTCGATCACCGGGACACCCCGCGACCGGAAGGCCGACCGCGCGTGATCGAGGAACCGCGTCTTGCCCGACCCGCTCGGGCCCGTCGCGAGCGTGATCGGCGCGTCGAGCAGCCGCTCGTCGCTCGGCAGCCACGCGAATCCGTGCGCCACGCTCTCGCGCGTGATCGACGCGCCCATCATGGACGCCGCCTCGCACGCGCGCCTGGTCGTTGTGTTCGGCGCCGCCCGCTTCATCGCGCACCCCCCTTCGCTTCGCGCTGCAGCGCGTCGATCACCCTCAGCTCCGTCCGCACCGTGTGGAGCGTGTACCCGAGCGTCTCGCACGCCTCGCGCATCGTGCCGCCCTGGAGGATGCACACCTTCGCGACCGCACGCCGGCGGCGCGGCCACGCCTCCACGTGCGCCGCGACGAACCCGAAGCGGGGCGAGACCATCCGGCGCACCGTCGCTCGCAGCCGGGTGCGGACGAGCCGCACGGGCCACCCCATCGCCTCCGCCGCCTCGCTCATACGCTCCCCCTTCCCGAAGACGCGCTCGACGATCCGCCGATCGTCGTGACGCACCCACTTCGCCCGCTCGACGAGGCGCTCCGCCACGTCCCGATTCCTCGTCCGACGCAGGTCGAGGTCCTTGTCCGAAATCGCCAGCCAGTCCGCTCCGAGGCTCACCATGGGGTCCACTCCGCTCCGCGTGAGGATGATGTAAACAGAAAAGTAAACGTCTCAGGAAACGTTATACACGCAGTTGACTCATCCGCAAGGGTTCTGTACGGTATCTCCCGAACTTGGCGCACAGGAGCGCGTATGCCCCCACTCGGCGAGCACATCCGAACCCGACGACGCGAACTCGGGCTCACCGTCCAGGCCCTCGCGGATGCCGTGGGCTGCACGCGCACGTACCTCTCGCAGATCGAGAACGACCGTCGCGACAGCCCCCCCTCCGAGGCGCTGCTCCGCAAGCTCGAGAAGAACCTCCGCCTCGAGCCCGAGACGCTCGTCCGCGGGCGCTACTGGGAGACCGCGCCCGAGGAGGTGAAGCGCGTCCGCGACGCGGCCCAGCTCCTCAAGCACCGCGGCATCGACGAGCTGTACAAATCCGGCGAGCTGCAATCGCTCGTCGACCGACTGTCCGGCGAGGCCGGCGCGATGGGACGCGTCGCGATGACGGGCCACGTCCCGCTCATCAACCGCATGATGGCCGGCCCCTTCGCGGAGTTCACGGATCTCGGCTACCCCGCTCGCGTGGCGGACGAGTACATCTCCGTCCCCGGCGTCTCCGACCCCGACGCCTTCGCCGCGAGGGTCTTCGGGGACTCGATGGAACCGACCTACGCAGAAGGCGATATCGTCGTCTTTTCACCCCTCACGCAGGTGCGCGACGGTTCGGACTGCTTCGTCCGCCTGGAGCAGGACGACGAATCGACGTTCAAGCGGGTGTACTTCGAGGGCGACACCGACGACACCGCCCGCGTCCGCCTCCAGCCCCTCAACAACCGCTACCCGCCCCGGACGTTCGACCGAGAAGCCATCGCGGCGATGTGGCCGGCGGTGTACGTGATGCGGGCGGTTGGGCAGTAGCGGCTGAGCAGTGGCAGCAACCGCGACCGTGAGGGAGCGGACTGCGTCCCCATCCACCATTCACGTTCCAAGCGCGCAGCTTCGCTCCGTCGTTGTGTGCCCGCATCCACTGGTCGGCGGTGGCGTAGTCCGCTCCCTCACGGTCGCGGTTGCTACCACTCAGCCCTGCTCCCAACTCACCCGCAACCCCACCCCACCATCCTCCGTACAGTCCCCCGCCGCTTGCCGCGTCCCGGGCACGCGGATAGCTTGCCCCTCCCGATCCCCGGCCAGCCTTGGTGGTGCGCCGGCGGGGGAATCCCTACAGTTTCTGATTCGGGGCGGGATTTTCGAGACTCGACCGCGGAGGTTCGCGCTATGGCCAAGATGTTCTACGACCTGTCGGAAGCCGCGTCCAAGCTCGGCAAGAGCGAGGACGAGGTCCGCGAGATGTCCGCGCGGGGCGAGATCCAGGAGTTCCGCGACGGCGAGAAGCTCATCTTCAAGGTCGACCAGATCGACCTCCTCGCCGGCGACG